GGCCGGAAAAATGTCATAGGAAAAAAACGTAATGGAAAAATATTGATAACTTTGGTTTCTATCTGTGAAATTTCCAGCTGGATGTCTGCTCCATTAGATGTAACAAAAGCTAAGTAAAAAATGATTTACTTTGTGTTTGTCAAGTTAAGCAAATTTAAATTGACAGACAAAAACAAAACTGGTTTAGCATTATACTTTTTTTTTCACTCAATATAAATTCCGAGGGGCACTCAAGATAGAGAATTGCTAAATGAGGTTGTCGTATGTGTTGGATATCGGTTGAAGACCTTTGACCTCGCTTCCGCTGCATAAGCGTAAATCGGAATGGGTGTTCTGAATGGAAGGAAATGCGTGCTTGCGTGGAGGGTATGTCGGAAGATGTGTGGCCACACGATGTTGCGTGGGCACATGGCCGGGAGAGGTATGACCACAAGTAGTTGCAAAAACGATATGCCGGAAGAAGGTCTAGCCAAGTGAAGTTGCGTGGGTGTCCAAATATTATAAAAACGATCCAACACTTGGCCTGAGAGAGAGGCTGACTTGAGTTTCACCGAAGAATTTGTCTCCGTCAATTCCTGTGTGCACAATCCTAACCTCTGTGATTCTCCCTCACTCTACCCACCAGACAATAATGATATTTATACATATATATATATATATATATATGTGTGTGTGTGTGTGTGTGTGTGTGTGTGTGTGTGTGTGTGTGTGTGTGACGTCACCCCGGCCTCTCTCCGCGCCCGCCGTCGTGCTATCCTGTGATGACCAACGTGACTTGGTATTGGTCGCGGCACCAAATGTGACGTTCTAACCCTTTGCTGATTCGGATGGGAATCTGGTTAGATTCGGTAACAGCTTTGTCGTTCCCAGCTTGCCTCCAACGTCTGGTTACCGAAGTAACTGCTTTGATTTCTAGTCTAACCTACCCATGTTGTGATTTGATCTTAGGTAGACGAAATCAATCAGTCGCCGGGCCGCAATGCAAGCCGGGTCTGAGCAAAGGTAACACCGCACAAGTATATGTAAAAGAAAATAAAGTAACAACTCGAAAAGTTCAAATGTGTTAGAAAAATAATAACAATATTTTATATCTGGTTGCTGAATACAGGATGCGTCTTTCTCCCAAACCGCTAATATGGATACGTGACACTTTGTGTTTGTTAGGCGAGTCTTAACATCTTAAGTTGTTTTTTTTTTTTGTTTTTTTTTAAGAAACTGTTTTTTTCTGTATCTTCAGGCAATATTCGTAAGACTTGTTTTGGTGGTGTAAGTCTAAGTCGTTCTTTAAAAATAAATTGCTTTTGGTTAGAAGTTGAAGTCCGAATGCGTGGATCTTCAGTCAGCTTTCTGCGAGGCGGGTCTCAGAGGTCACAGCTCAACTCTGCGTCTCTCTCTCCAACTGCTTTCTGTGTTACTGCGTCCGCTCGCTGCGACTCTGCTTATATGGACGCCGACCAAAACCGGGGTGGGCTTGTCGGGGTTTGAGGTTCCTTGATAATTCTAAATCCACAATAAGGATTTTCTTTGTTTTCGGACAGGAAAATTTATTACTTTCCATTTTTGGAAGTCCATTACTTTCTACTTTAAGGGAATCGTCCTCCCAAATTCTTCCTTTCTCATATTGGTATCTCACCCAATCCCCTCAGAGGGCGTCAACATGTTTCCCCTCTCTCTCACAGTGGCATCTCACACCAATCCCCTCAGTTGGCGTCAACAGGCCTCCCCTCCTTTCTCATAGTTTACCTTCGCCTACCGTTCACGCCACACTTCAGCCAATGAACGCTCAGCAGCGTGGGTGTTTTCAATTATCGCTCAAAGGAGAAAAAAATTATCTTCCTTTTTTTTTTTTTTTTTTTCTTTCTCTTTTCCGAACAGACCTCCCACGACTCGTAGAGTGGTCTGTAATCTCTATCTTAACCGAATTTCATCTGGAGTTCGTCAACGAGATTTTCGTCAAATAATCATTGGGGTTGATCAGTGAATCTCTTTGTCTCCTCAATGCCTACGTGCTTCCGCCACCACAGTCTGTCCAGGCAACAAACTCTTATCATGGCCAGCTCTGACATAAAACAGGTGTTTTTCCCAAAACCAAATGATATCGCCGAAGGATAGTTAATGGTTTATTCCTTTCCTTTCTCTTTTCCCTTCCTTTCCTTCTCTCCTTGGGGGTGGTCCTCAGCTGAGGTCTTTCTCGGTCAATACGTGCCTGATTAACATTATCTCTTAGCATTCTGTTTTCTAGGCCACTTGACCAATTTGAAGTTTTCATTATTGCCATGGGCAGATTGCTATCTTCTTCCGCCGCGTCAAAACATAAATTAATTCCACAGATCCGATATCTTACGAATAATTATTTCAGCTTCTTCTCGCCTTAATTATTTCTCGCTTTTCATTTTCACGCGACCGCTAAATAGTGTAATACACACACACACACACACACACACACAAATATATATATATATATATATATATATATAAGTGTTTGTCGCCTTATTTTAGTCCAGCAGGAATATACAACACATGAATGTAAGAGCCGAAGATAAGATGTACAGATTATAAGGTTATGTAACAAAGATAACGGTTTAACCTAAACTTTAAGACAGTTGTTTCTAAGCTTTTTTTTTTCTCTGGGCCGCATCTCCTATCACCAAATTTTATGTGATAAAAAGTACATTTAAAAATAAAAAAAAACAGTGAGTGAGTTAAAGGCAGATAACCGTGGAATCAAAATCAGAACATTATCATTGATAACTCTCTTCTCCAATTTGCAGTTACTATATTTTTAATACTTGATATAATGCAAAAATATCACAATAATAAAATCGATCAATAACTGTTTATACTCATGCATGCAATTACAAGTAATCCATAATATTTTAAAAAATTTAAATCATGTTTATTTTTTGCATATGAATTTTTTAATACTATTTCTAAATTTTGATTGTTTTTCAATCCTACTATTCTCTTCCGCCGTACCTATGAGGTGCGCCGTATCGTTTGGGAACCACTGCTTTTAGATCTTAAGATAGCCGGAAAGCTAACAGTTAAACCTAGACTTGAGTTTAAGACTATCGGTAAGATAACGGTTAACCGTAGACTGGATAAGGTTAAGATTAAGAAAGATAACGACTGACTGATATCTTTGTGCTGACCAGGTTCGATATTACTCAACTTCGGTAATCAGACGAGAACTTGGATGTTCAATATACAATTTAAATTATACCCGTTGATTTAAAAAAAATGAAATATTTGAAATTTTCAAACACTACTACAGTTAAATTATAGTTAAATTATGCTTCAGTGTTTCCATAACATAGAGACCCCATAAAATTTAGACATCATAGCCCAAAACATTCAATTTGCGTTATGTGATAACAGACAGAAAAAAAATGGCCTTAGGTGAATTATAGTGAGATTTTTTTCAAATAGTGATTCAAAGAACGGAATTCATAAGCTATTTCTTTTTCTATCTATATTTCTGAGATAATGTATTGTAATTATTTACACTATTTTTATTGTTCGGACTGTTATCCTCCATCTTTATTGTCATATTCACGACGTTTCGGATGTTGTACAATCCGGACTTCAACAGCTGATATACGTTGGAATTTCGAATCGAACTCTTTATTTTCGCCCACCGGGGGTAGATCGTTCTCGGTCCTCGTATTATTTTTTTCATGTAGATTATCTTATTTTTTCTTTAAAAATGTAGCACCTATTTGCATACAAACTGCATACACTAAATGTAACAAATTTTAAAGGAGTTCTTTTTTTTTGTGACCTGATGGAGATCGTCTTTCTGAAACAAAAATTAACAGAAAACGTTACGTTATTCCTATTTTTTATTTTTATTTTTTTTATTTTTATTTTTTTTTTTTTTTTTTTTTTTTTTTTTTTGCTTTGCTTCGCTATGCCCCCTATTGGGACAATTCGCTTCGCTATGTCCTCAATTGGGACAATTCGCTTCATCGTACCCTCAATTCGGACAATTCCCTATGCCCCTAATTGGGACAAACCAGAAATCGGAGCGGCAAAAATACTGAATTCACTTGAAATCATAAATATTCACTATATACACAAAGCGAGGGGTAAATTTTAAATTTTTTATTTCGTGCATACGCCTTTTTTTTTAATTTATTTTGTCAACTTGACAGTATAGTAGGGTCAGTTGGGCACCGCCTATGAGAAAAAAATAGCACAATGACGCAATTCCCTCCAACAGAAAATTGAAAACGGCATGCTGTACTGCTTGGCATTCGCGCCGGAAGCTCCATTACAAACATTTCGGAGTGTCTGAGAACAGAGCAGAGAATTTGCAAAGAGTCGGATGAGTCTAATGGTGATTACAAATTTGCGACAGCTCGGAAAACCCAGTCTAAATGTTCTGATAAGGAAAAAAAAACTCTCGAATTTGTTGGTGAGGGTCAATAGCGATTTCATTGAATAAATTTACTCTTTAGTATTTCAAGATATTTTTGTGTGATTTTGGTAAATATATCTGTTAATTTTCCTGTTTGCGTAATTTAGACGATAATTTACCCATCGCACCTGTATATTTTCTTCCTCTACCTGCTGTGTCCCTTGACGATGTGGGAGAATTTGACTCTTCACAACTACCTATCGTTTATAACTCTTAGTAAGTTGTGTCTTTCCTCTATCTCTCCCAATTCCTAACTATGTATATCGTTTATTCATTAATTTCTTTTGTTCCTCTTGTCTTCAATATGTCCTGTCAGTGTCAAATTCTCGAAGTCATCTTTCCTCATTGTATATCCTAGAAATTTAAACTGTTTCTTTCTGTCTCTAATATATGTCCTTTTTGTTTCCATTTTATCATTACTCATATGTTCATTCCTTGACATTCTCAGCATCCTTCTGTAGAACCACATTTCTCCCACCTCAAGGCTCTTCTTCAATCTCTTGTGATATTGTCCAACATTCACTGCAATATCACACGATAATACATAACAGTTCAGCACTCTATGCTTTGTTTCTAAGACGATCGCATCACGTTGAAACACCTGTTCTCGTATGATCACCGTAGTTAAACAACGTCGAGCCTGGTCAGTACTTATATGGGTGACCGCTTGGGAATACCAGTTGCTTTAAGTTCAGATGTGGGGGTGGTGTAATGGATAATTACTTGGAAGTATTAATCGAAGAGCCGAGTTGCAATTAACATTGGGTTCGTCATATTCACTTACGCTCAAATATCCTTGGGAAAGTTATGAATCCACCTATTCTACCCCTAGCTATGGGTGAATTAGTAAAACTTGTATCATTAAACATTATTATCTCCCCCTAAAAAAATTCTTATAATCCAAAAATATTTTATGGGTTTAAATAACCGATACATAATTGATAAGCCGCAGAAAAGGAATGAATCAATCAATCGTCATTTCTAATGAAAATTTCTTGTTTCTTAATAATTTACTTAACTTTTGGAAGGTACCTTTCGGTTACTATATTTCAATTTGATGCTGCTTGTGTGAAGTTTTATTAGATCTTATATGTTTATAATTAGTTAACTTCTTGACATATTACATACGATTCTTGTATTCACGCTTAGTCTACTTTTCGAATTTCGATAAAATAATACGTATAACCAAAAAAAAATTATTATTATTATTACTGTTATTATTATTATCATGATCATCATTATATTTTGATTTCTGCTATGGTCATATTACCTACCAAGTCTGTGAGAAAACCTAAGGCAGATAGTGTGGTGTTGTTATGGCTACATTTCATGATTTGATTTTCTATGTGCCATAACATCACTAGCGTTACATGGACAAAGTTCTTCTTAGTGTGTGGGCTGTATTTAACAAGACAATTTTTTGTATTTCTCTTAAGATGGAATTTCCATAGACTTTTTCAATGTGTTGTTGTGTTCCTTTTTTTATCATTCCATGCGCACCTCTTATGACTGGTACTATTTTTGTTTTTATTGTGAGACCGGAACTACCTACACAATAGACTCTTCCAGGTCTATATTAAGTATGCGACACAACACTCTAGACAGAGTGACACTGAGACACAGAGAGTCAGAGACACAGTGAGAGCCGCGTACGACTACCAGTATTGGACACTAACATATAGTAAGCTCCGCTTACACTATCTCTGTAACCTGTTGTTAATATATCTTTCTTACATCTAATCCGTGTTCCGTGTTTTCCTTCTGTGGTCCCGACTTTGGCCCCACATCAGTTTTCAATTCTCACATTTTTTTCTATTTCGATTTCCAGGTTTTTATACATCGATAGTTTTTCAAATTCCTCGGTTTCTATGTTACAGTCCGCTGGGCAAGCCATATCAATTAGTAGGCCAGTTTTTTCTTTTCGGTTTTTGACAGCTATGTCTGGCCTATTTGCATCAATCTTCCTGTCTACAAAGATGGTTAATTCCCATAGAATTGTGATGTCTTCTATTTCTGTAGTCAGTGCTGAGTGATGTCCATACTAGTGTTTGTTACCATCTTTTTCAAGGTGTTTTCACATTGTCCAATGTAAATATTGCCCCACTTTATCGTGACGAATTTTATATTCATTTGGTTTAAGTAGAGAACATCCTGAAATTAGATGGTCTATGGTTTTCCGATGTCTGTCACAGAACCTGAATTTGGATCCACAATATTTTGTATGATATTTTCCTGAAAGTTCATATTGAAAAGATTCTGGTTTTGCACTGCAAGAATAAAACCTTTAATCCAGATGCTTGTAACCATCGATGAGTGTTAACTTTATCCACATCGGCTTTATTAGCCTCGTTCTGGATATTGGCCATGCAGAGGTTTGTCTTGCCAGTATTGTTACATCTGTTAAAGAGCTTTATCCTTCGCTTTCTTTTTTATTTTTTTGCTGCAACAGTTAGTTCTTGGGTTATGTTTTTGTTTTCTACAGAATCTACTAAATGTAAATCTCATTTCTATTTACAATCTTCTTTATTGATTGAATATATTTTTTTTCTATCTGTTTTCGAGTTGTTTGACTAATTGTTTCATCCTTACGGGGTATGTATAGACGGTCTGCATCAGCCTTTTAATGATGCATGTTATGCATAGAAAGAAGCTTTCTTTTTTCAGAATCCATTCGTCTATCATCTACAGTCCAGTTCTTTATGCTGAAACTATATTTAACTTCTGAGATGGCAATGATATTAATTCCCATAATTCTGTTCTGAGAATTCAATTCAGTTTTTAACATCAGTCGCACTTTTCTATAGTACTCCTTTCTTTCCTTTTTTATGATGAATGTACTGACCCTCATTTACACCGAAGTACTTACAAGCTTCTTCTTGGTCTAAATCTTTGATTGTTACACCAGTGTATAAGCTAATAGAAAAGGCTTGTTGCAGTGATCATCGCTGTCTCTTCCGCAAGTTTATCCAAACTGAATTCCATTCCAACGTCATTGCTGAAGAATTTTACTGTTTTCAGGAGACCTCCCAGCTCACTGTCATTCCTAGCATACAACATAAGTCGTCCATGTAAAATAGATAGCATATTTTCTTTTGAGATATCCTATAGCCATATACCTTCCGGTTAAGTTCGCTGATTAAAGCTATTATGGATATACAAAATAGAGAAACAAAGATTCACCTTGAAATATACTCTGCTGATGTTTATTTGACCAGACTTATAGATTCCATTTATATGATTGAGGTGAAGTTTTTTTTCCCGGTATAGACATACTTTGTTTGATGAAATTGATGATGACGGGTGATACCTTTATATATTTAAAGACATTAAGATCTAGGAATATGGTACACTAAAGAATTCCTTTCGGTAATCTATCCAGGCAGTACTGAGAATTTTTCTGTATTATTATTTTCTGCATTATTATTATTATTATTATTATTATTATTATTATTATTTCAGGTGTATACTCATTTCTTTCTGGGTCCCGTCCAGATACATAAGATCAGAAATGGCATCATGACATTTTCTACTGAACAGTTTTGAAAAAAAAAAACACATATGTTACATAAATAAAGCCCTTAATAAGGTGTGGTCTGTACTCGTGAGAATATATTTTTGTATTTCTTTAAGACATGAGTTACAAGGAATCCCTTCAATGAGTCTGTTCGAATTTTTCCCAATCTCTCCGAGGACTTCAAGTACAAATGGAATTGTTGATGTCCTTATGTGGCATATTTTTAGATTTCGTTTTGAAGGCACTTGTATTCTGATAGATTTTTAGAGTCTTTAAAGATACATTAGCGTCTGGCGCGACAACCATGTCAATATGGAGGCAGATTTTGTCTTTGTGGTCGCGAATTCCAATATCAGAACGATTAGCTTTGATTGTTCTGCCTGTGGGTATTGTAAAATCCGATAAAATTGTTACAGGTCCTACCTCCGTAACCGGGTCTGGATGGTGTTCATACCAATTTTCTTGCAGTTTCCTTTCCGTAAAAGTTGCAGATTTTCCATTGCAGATATTAGCTTTTAATTCAGAAGGTACGAACACCGCGCAATCTGACACAGGATGATCAATTGTTTCTGGATATTTATCATAGAAGCTGCATTTTGGACTAACACAATTTTTCATTATGTGTCCTTGATAATTTCTAGTTAGCAAGCATTGCTCCTGTGCAGCAAGAGTAAAACATTCGGTTTCAGCTTTTAACCCTGCACTACGTAATCACTGATGGGTACTGGGTTTGTCTACATCAATTTGTTTTTTACGGTTAGAGAACTGACCGTGAAGCAGTTTATCTTGTCATCGTTTCTGTATCTGGTCTGTTTCATTTGCCTTTGCCTTTGCTTTCTTTTTTAAGTATTTTGCAACTGCAGTCGGTGTATTAATCTTTACTTGCAATTCTTCACCTATTTGAAACTCCTTTTTGAACATGTTGGCTTCCTTTATTACTGAATAAAGTTTATTACTTATTTCATGTTCTTTGATACAAATTATCATCAAGTCTTCTGTAGTTTCCAATTATCTATGATATCGATTGTTGCGGTTTTGTAAGACAGTCCTAGTTGAAATAATCCTCTGCCTCCTTCGGATCTGGACGCATAGAAACTGTCAACATCAAACTTAGGATAATGAATGTGGTGGCAAGTGAGAAGCTTTCTCGTTTTAACATCGGTTAATGTCAGCTATGGTCCAATTAAAGACGCTGTAACTGTATTGCACCACAGGGATAGCCAGAGTTTATGGCTGATATTCTGTTTTTTGAATTCAGCTTCATATTCAGTAACAGAAACACACTGTAGTATTCCTTTCTTACCTTCTTCATTTGACTATGCTGTAGTCCATTATTTTGCTAATTCCTAGGTACCTATAGGCTTCTTGGTCTAGTTGGCTAATCTTTGTGACATATTATAAATTTATCGATTGTGTATCTTTTCCCCTTTCTTGAATGTTACTTTTGCACATTTATCTAATCCGAAATCCATACCTATGTCATTATTGAAACATTTTACCATATTGACGAGACCCTTTAACTCATTCTCGTCTTTGACAAAGCGTTTGAGATCATCAATGTAGAGTAGGTGATTGTTTACTTTCTTGTTTAGTTTGTATCCATTGCTATTATTGTTTAGTTCTGTGACACTATTTAGCGGTCGCGTGAAAATTAAAAGCGAGAAATAATTAAGGCGAGAAGAAGCTATATTTAGCTGTCCACCCCACGTGGGATATCATGTGGCACAAGGCCGAGTTTAATGTGGGTAATCCGAGCCCGTAGGCCCGGCTAAAAATATAGCCTTCGAACCTGCCTAGGCGGGTTCGAGAGCTGTCAATCTCCCCGAACGAAACCTTGCCCTTCGGCAAAGCTTCGTCCGGGTTCCTCCTTGCTAATGCAGAGAGTTAGATAGACGGCGGTTGTTGTAAGTTTGATACAGCTATATATCTAAGGCGAGAAGAAGCTATCACGAAAAGACATACTGAGCGATGTTATTTTTTTAACAAAGAAAAGTGGTCAAGATTTTATTTTCATTTACGAAGAAAAGTATTTTTTTTTTTCACAGAAGATAGCAAACTCGTAAGATCTCAGATCTGTCAGAATTAATTTATGCTACGACGCGGCGAATAAAAGATAGCAATCTGCCCATGGCAATAATGAAAATTTCAAATTGGTCAAGTGGCCTACGAA